TGCGTAGAGATGTTGCATCTCTTTGCGTATTTTATCGCATCTATCACGGGGAGTGCTCTGAGGAATTGTTCGGACTAATTCCAGCCGCTCAATTACACCATCGCACGTCGCGACAAAACTCGCGTTACCATCCGTACCATCTGGATGATTGGCGGTCCACCACTGTGCGATTTCGAAGAAGTTTTCTTCCTCGCACAACTTCTTTGTGGAATCAATTACCCCCAGCGAATTTTCCGAACCGATACGACTTAGGAACCTTCAAGAAAAGAGCTTACACCTTTTCAAAAGGCCGGCAACGCATCTGCAATTCCCCTGGTGTTGCGGTTGTTCATGGGCGGCGGTAGTCACTTACCATCAGGTGAGCCGCAAGCTCGTTTGCCCCCTATTCTATAAAAAAAAATACTCAACGTCAGTGACACAAACCTTTTCTGATGGTGAATTATTACTATTATCTTATAACTGGCGTTTTGGCTATATCTACCATTATATTTTTTTGTGGAGCATATGTGTCTACCTCATGCGGGTGGTAGCTGGAGGGAGAATCTGAGGATGCTCTCAAGGCTGCGGCTGAAAGCCGCGTAACGTGGGACCCCATTCCCTTGAGGTGAGCGGTAGACTCATGACACGCTCTGCGGCTAGTTGCCGTGCTGATCATGCATTTGATGGTGATTCCTTATACTTACATTACGTCTGCAGGAACGGCGGCCTGGAAGCTGGTGGCGCACCCGGAGGTCTTTTTATGGCCAGTGTGCCTATTATTCGACGTGTTGCCTGAACCGCGTAATGTACATTCACTGTGGCCGAATTCGATCGTATTCTGTATGGGGTTTACACGCATTGACATGTGCGACTTCGATGTTTGTGTTTACGCACTACCAAGGGGCCAAGCCCTCTTTTACTGATACGCCAGTTACTTTGCTGTGGATTACAAGCCGGTTCCCAACATAACGTCCCCTTCGCGGGGAGCGCGTTGTATGGTTGGCATCCACCGCACACGGCGTCTGTAGAGCTGTGTGCCTCCCCCATTTTTAAATGTGGTAAAGTGAAGCCCTTGTATCTGGTATTGTATATAAATTTTATGAGCCTTTTCCAAACGTGAAGGGATTAATTAATAAGTAATTGACTGATGTGAACGTGATACAAGTGGAATAGAAAAAGATTTAATGTTCTTAACCTTTTTTTAACCCCGTCTCCATGAACGGGGTTCTTTAGCTTATAAGGCACTACAAACAACTTTAGGCTGCTCTAGTGAATATTCATTCCTCCAAGAGACACCTAAAAGATCTAAGTTACTAAACAAAAATGACGTAAATAAGGGTCCTGATTAAAACTATCACGCCATAAATTTATTAAACGGCCTATATTTAAACCTTTAGAAATATCAATATATGGTTAATTTCTTAACACTGCTGTATTTCGTATGGTGAGGGTAGAGAACCGGAAACTCTTTTTACTGGAAAAGAGGAATTCCATCTTAGTCCTCACGGGTGACAACGCATCTGCATTTTGTTTCGCAAACGAGGATAAATGTAGATGTCTATGGGCCACAGCAGCCACTTACCGTCAGGTGGAATGTGTGCTCGTTTGTCACCCTATCCTATAAAAAAATATACTGGTCACGTACATTTTATATAATTTTATACATCATTTATATATCGAGTCTAAAGAAAAAAGGGGGGAAGGGTTACACTCTGTAGATTATAAGGTGCAAAGGAACTTTAAGCAACCTTAAATTGAATTAAAAGTTTCAACTTTGATTTTGACAACAGTTCATCACTTGCACCACACGTCACGATGTCCAATTGTTCGCAGCGTCGCACCGCTTGCCTCGCTCCCTGATGTCCCTTTGTAACTTCATTAACAAGCCCGTGCTAACAAACTTCTATTCAATACTTGGATTATATTATTACATTTCTAACTGACCCTAAAACCTAAGATTATTTCCGTTACAACCTCATAGATTGCCTCATAGAGGGGTATTTGCCATAGTTGCCACGCTTTACAAGCACAATGGCAACCGCAGTTTTTTTTGTCGTTTTAAGGAAGGCGCTGCTGCCCATCCTTAGATTTGTTTCGCTATGTCGCCTTTTATGACACCCACGGGATGATATGGGGTAGTGGATATACTTACACCGCCACTACACAGTAATTAAAAAAGAGATTATTAATTCGATTGTATTTTTATCATAACTCGATAATAGTCGATCCATTCATGTGGCAATGCATATATCTGCTTTAACAACAACGTTTTGTTGTTTTTAGAGGACTTAAGAAAAGGAGTAGTTTACTATTCCACTGTTTGTAAGTTGTGCGATGTTTTAAACAAGTGCAAACCGATTTTGACGATAGCTTTTTTTATAATATACTTCAGGAACAAGCTCATTAGTCACGCAACCAACCGCATCGCCTATATCTCGCGTCGCCGCTTCCGCCGTTGTGTAATTTAGATTACAATGAGATTAAAGTATAACAAATTATATTAATTTGTATAGATAGACATTTTTTATGACGCTATATTTCGCGATAATCTGTGAAGTTTATATGTGTGAAGACAGCAGGGATCCAAGCAACGTGGCCGCTGTCACAGAGGCAAATTAGCTGAAGACCAGGTGTGCACATGCATTCCTTCACATCCTTTCTGAATTCCGAATTTAGGGGCATTTGCAGTATCACGAAATATAAAATTTGCACCATACAGTCCATAAGCTTACGTAAAATCATCCTTCTAATAACTCTGAACTAGCAGTTGGTCCTTTAAACCAGCACACCATTTTTCATCCTTCGCCAGGTTCAGAACCATAACTGGGCCTTCTCGCCGAATTATAATTTAAAAAAATTAAGCAACTAATTTGTGATCACTCCGGCTGGGTTAAATTACTTATTCAGTTCTGGTCTTATTGTGTATCTACTTATCTACTTGTAGAATATTTCAACCAAAGCGTTGGTAAAATAGGGGATAAAGACGTAAATGTAGAACCATTTCCATTATTTGTTTTATGTTTTTCATTTTATTGCAGTTTACTTAAATAAGTTAAATTTGTAGGTAGTTACCAAAACAGGTACTGCGATAACCAATCTACCCGACAAGTATCAAGCAAAAGGTGATTAAGGCAAATTTTCATTAACGGTAGAGTCTCTTGTACAGCTGTGAACTTTACGATCTAATGAAGAAGGAATAAGATAAGAAGTCAATTCTACTGCAATTTTAAATGTAAATTTATAGCCTATGTACCCCCTACTCCTGGCTACAGGCCTTCTCTGATTATGGTGATTAATATTTTTTTATTTCTCAGACATGCAGATTTCCACCGGGCATGTGGTAAACTACGTGCAAGTGATGTGTCCCTCACTCATGAGTTGCCTCGTTTGAGGTACTCGTGACGGCAAATTGAAAGAGTTACTCGAATGTTAACATTAAAACACCTCACTCACTCGTGCATGACCTCGCTTATCACTGACAATATGAATTGTGTCCCGAGTGAGTGAGCGTACAACTCGATTAAAAATACTTCAAGTAGGTATCGAGATTATGTATTTTGCAGCAAAACTAAATGAGTGAGGTGTCGATATTAAGGAAAAAGATTAGTAAACAACAAAAATAATTTTTGACTAATGGAATTTGAAACAATCAAGTCACATATATGAGTGTGAATAAAAAATCATGCGCACTTTTTTGTGATCTCTAATTTCATTTGCGTTCACTGATAGCGTCTGTTGTAACATAATAATAATATAAATATAATGAATATGGTAACAATATTTCCTCCTTTCAAAAAACTTTTGGAAGGAGGCGACTCGCCTTGTGAGATGAATACACCGACTAGTGATTCCTCATCTCAAATGAGGGGTATTTCGTGAGTACCTCGCTAGGTACAATGAGGTACTCCCTCATCCTCAAACAAAATAGATGAGTAACCCATGACTACTACGTGCAATTTTTAATGTCTCTTTTTTAATACCTCCAAGGATAATTAAAATAATTATTGTAATCCCAAATATGCCTGTCCTAATTGATGATGGTGAAAATGAAATTTTTAAACATTGTGAAATCTTACCAGTTTATGACCGAATTAAATTTATTTTATTAAAGCAATATTTCTTTTGCGATAGTATAAAGTCATACATAAATCAACCTGTACATACGCGCGCTATGGCACAAAACCGGCTCCGATACATCACTGCTAATAATGTGTACGGGCAGCGGACAGCCGCTTATCAGGTACTACATTTAATAAATAACTTACCTTTCGATGTACACGAAAAAATATCACAAAAAAACATTAAAACTTAACTCAAAAGCTTTTTCATATCTAAATTATAATTACCTTCTATATCTACTTACTTAACAATAAAATACCTCCCTGCCTAATTCTTATCTTGCTACTACTGCTTTAACTAAGTTGTTAACTTACCTTCTTAGTCTTTATATTCTTACTATACCTACTACCTACTCACATACCTAGCTACTTACTTACTTAGACTGTGTCTTGCACATAATATGCTGACTTAAACTTAATTATTTAACATCAAGTCAAACCTCCGTGGTTTTTAAATGTTAATTAGACCTAAATCTGTATTCTTTTCTTTTGATATGATAAATAAATAAAAAAAACCCATAGATTTATATAATTTGTTTACCCGTTCTTTTGCAGAGATTCCTAGTTAAATTAGTAAAATAGGTATTTCAAGCTGATGGGATGGGAAATATTCAGTTAAATATATATTTATTTAAAAGGACAGTCATATAGAAAACTTATGACCTTATAATTCAATACTCCTTTTGTTCTGAAGTTTAAGTGTAATAAGTTCGTAATAAAACAGGAAATTACCACATATTAAAAGAAAAGTGTAATTTATTTATTTACATCAGCAAAATGATCACAATTAACTTTGCCGTCCATTTCTTGTTTATTATTCAGTGTAACATAAAAAATAGCATGCAGGACCGAGCAAAATTAAATTGTGTATAATGCATTGCGAGTAATAAATTTGTAGAGGTTTTAAACATAATAATATCGTGATGCATCATCGGTGTAACTTCTATAAAAATCTAAAATCTTAAGAAAGATATCGGGTGATGGTGTAGCATCTTTAGGTAGTGCATTAACCTTGTGCAAATAAGTGTTATATCGAGACTGAATTTCTTCTTTATAAAGTTTTAGCATGTTAAGGTCGTTGTACAATTCCAGAATGCGTTTGATACATTCTGGGTCCCAGCTTCCGTAGTTTTCTTCAAAAATTTTGCGTTGTTCTGTATTACAGTGCTGAAGTGCTGCTACTGCAGGCCACGAACATTTTCCAAGAGGTATGTCTGTACTAGATTTACCCGATATTGATGTATCACTGTCAATATAATCGGTGAGATCATTCTGTAAATAAGAAGTTAAATAAGTTCTATTATGAGTTGAAATTAATACATCTGTTTACATTATATTAAAATATACAACTAAAAACTAAAATTATCATACAGTAGCATTACAAAGGACGCTGGCTGCGTTTCCTAGCTGAATGGCACTTAGACTTTGAGTAGTAAAAGAATCAGCCCTCTTATCAAATACGGCGACGACAAGTCGTGGATACAGTTCCTTTAGCAAATGGCACAACTATGTAGTCATCTCTCAAAGACTCATGCTTGCGCTATCTAGCTCCTGAGCTACCACGAATCGACCGGTCAATTTATGTACCCTGGTTCTTATTAGTTTGTCAATTTATGTCTGGTGAAAAAAGCTTAGATTTTATTACAGCTGTCAATAGTTTCATTAACCTAATGTAAATCTAGGTGACAAATGAATAATTTTAATCAGGATTGAAACAGGATTAAATTTTATTATTCAAAAGCTAATGTTATTTTAGTTTTAATAATATCCTACATTCAAATCGTCTACTTCATTGCAGTCTTCTAGGCACTGAAAACGGTTTTGTAACTCGAGCTGAAAGGTTTCGGGACTTTGGATTAGAGCGCGAGGGGGACGGAGCGTTGACTTCATTAGACGAGACCTCTCCAACTTAACGTTTAGGTTCAGTGTGCCTCTAACCATTCGGTGATCGCTGCCGGTTTTCACCCTCGCTATCACTGAGACATCACTGAACAGTTGTCGTCTGGTCGTCATAATGAAGTCAATCTCATTTTTTGTCGAACCGTCGGGGCTCGACCAGGTCCACTTCCTGTGGGGCCGCTTCTGGAAGAAAGAGTTCATCATAAAGAGTCCCTCTTTCTCCATGAAGTCAGCCAACTGCTGGCCCCTTGGGTTCCGTTGCCCTATTCCAAATTTCCCTACTTTCAGCTCACCGTTCTCTCTTGTGCCTAGTTTTGCATTGAAGTCTCCCATTAACACCGTATATTGAGTTTTGGAGGAATGCATGGCTCTAGATATATCCTCATACATTTCCTCCACCTCCTGATCGGGGTGTGCCGAGGTTGGTGCGTAAACCTGTATGACCTTCAGCGAATACCGTTTGGTGATTCTGAGTATAAGGTACGCAACCCTCGTCGACACACTCTCAATCTTTACAACGTTGTTAACGAGAGACTTGTGGACGATAAATCCGACACCTCCTTGGGACAGATGGTCGCCCTCCCGGTGATAGAGCAAGTTGCCGGATTCGAGGATTACCGTGTCCTCCCCCTCTCTTCGGACTTCGGATAATCCTATAATATGCCAGCGTAACTTGTCTATCTCTTCTTCCAGCTCCACAATCTTCTCGTCAGTCCTCAGGGTGCGTGCGTTGTATGTTGCCAGGTCGAGTAGTCGTAGGTGGCAACCGAACCTCCACCGGAGATTCTTAGCACCCCCTGCCCCGCCGTTACCATGGTCGCCACCGTAGCCAGGAATAGCGGGGCCGCCGGGGACTAGGGGCCGTTTATTATTGTCATTGCTCATGGGGGGTATATTGCCATAGTTGCCACGCTTGGCGAGCGGGTTGGCAACCGCAGTTTTTTATTGTTATTTTGGCTATTATCAGGAAGATGCTGCTGCCCATCTCCTGCCTGTTTCCCTTTGTCGCCTTTTACGACACCCACGGGAAGATATGGGGTAGTGGATATTCTTAACCGCCACTACACGGCAAGCTCGTGGAAACTGTCCATGCGGTCGGAGCTAAGTTCTGCAAGACCCGCCGCAGAAGAACACAAAAACTCTCCGATCACACTCTTAATCTCATGGCTGTTAGACGGGAGATGAAGCTACATTCTTCAACAGATTTGACAGCATACAGGCAACTGAACAGGCAGATCTCCAAATGCATGCGGCGGGACTTACGCAACTTCAATACAGCTCGTATTGAAGAAGCGATCGAGCGGAACCAAGGCTCCAAAGTCTTTGCCAGAGATCTGTCTGCCAGAAAGCGCCAACTGTCAAAGCTGAAGACAGAGTGTGGCAGCATCGTTTCCGGGGCACCTGAGATTTTGAGTGAGATTGAGAGGTTCTATGGGCAGCTGTACACGTCATCGTTGGAGCCGCACGCAAGTGTGAGTAACGATCCAAGAGCGAGTCTTATCCGACATTATTCCGATGATATCCCGGACGTCAGTCTGAGCGAGATTAGAATGGCTCTCCAGCACCTTAAAAACGGCAAGGCCCCAGGCGAGGATGGAATTACAGCGGAGCTTCTGAAAGCGGGTGGAAAACCGGTACTTGAAGTCCTTCAGAAGCTCTTTAATTCCGTCCTCCATGGTGGCATTACACCGGAGGCGTGGAGCAGAAGTGCGGTGGTCTTGTTCTTCAAGAAAGGCGACAACGCTCTCTTGAAGAACTACAGACCGATTTCCCTTCTGAGCCGCGTCTACGTGCTGTTTTCGAGAGTCATTACGAATCGTCTCGCGCGCAGACTTGACGACTTCCAGCCTCCCGAACAAGCCGGTTTCCGAAAAGGCTTTAGCACCATAGACCACATACATACCCTTCGGCAAATTGTACAGAAGTCCGAGGAGTACAATTTGCCACTATGTCTGGCGTATGTGGACTATGAGAAAGCCTTTGATTCCGTCGAAATTTGGGCGGTGCTGCAGTCCCTTCAGCGATGCCAAGTTGACTGTCGGTATATCGAAGTGTTGAAGTGCTTGTACAGTAGGGCTACGATGGCTATCCGAGTACAGAACCAGAGTACGAAACCTATCCAACTGCAGAGAGGTGTAAGACAGGGTGATGTTATTTCCCCGAAACTCTTCACCGCTGCATTGGAAGACGTTTTCAAGCTTCTGGACTGGAAAGGATACGGTATCAACATCAATGGCGAGTACATCACTCACCTTCGATTTGCCGACGATATAGTCCTTATGGCAGAATCGCTGGAGGACCTAAGCACTATGCTCAATGACCTCAATAGTGTTTCCCAACGGATAGGTCTTAAGATGAACATGGACAAAACAAAGATCATGTTTAATGTCCATGTCACACCTATGCCGGTAGTTGTTGGGAACACTAAGCTCGAAGTTGTTGACGAGTATGTTTACCTGGGACAAATAGTCCGACTAGGTAAGTCCAACTTCGACCGAGAGGTCAATCGACGGATTCAACTCGGTTGGGCAGCGTTCGGGAAATTACGGCTCATCTTCTCGTCAGGTATACCTCAAAACTTGAAAACGAGACTGTACACCCAGTGCGTGTTGCCAGTGATGACATACGGAACTGAGACGTGGTCCTTCACTGTTGGCAGGATGAGGAAGCTCAAGGTCGCTCAGCGAGCTATGGAGAGGGCTATGCTCGGAGTTTCTCTGCGTGATAAACTCAGAAATGAGGATATCCGCAGTAGAACTAGAGTGACCGACATAGCCCAACGGATTAGTAAGCTGAAGTGGCAATGGGCCGGCCATATAGCTCGAAGAACCGACAACCGATGGGGAAGAAAGGTTCTCGAGTGGCAGCCTCGTACCGGCAGGCGAAGTGTAGGGCGTCCCCCCACGAGATGGAGTGACGACCTGGTAAGACATGCAGGAAGTCGATGGATGCAGGTGGCTCAGGACCGTGCTTTGTGGCATTCTTTGGGGGAGGCCTATGTTCAGCAGTGAACTTGTGAAGGGCTGTAATGATGATGATGATGATGAATATCCTACAGACCGAATTTCGGTCACGGCACCAGCCTCAACGGAGACTAGCCATCGGCGCAGATTGCGTGGCGACTGCGACTGACTGCGGCTGACTGCGTGGCACATAATCGCTGCCTTGAACTGCATGTGGAAACGCTCTATTAAACAGTCGCATGCCGAATGGTAAGCTATTGTTCTTTTATGCTGGAATCTACTTATTTTCATCAGATATTGTTTCTTGTTATTGATTTGAGTGATTTGCTAAAACCATTTTTTATTTATTTAAGATTTGCTTTGGTGTGTATTTATAGAAAGAAACATGTTTCTTTCTATAAATATAGTTTCTAGTATAGTTTCAGTTTTTATAAATAGTCTTAGTCTTTTTAAGGCGAATCGAGGATCATATATGTAAGCAATACAAGTATCTTATCGATTTGTTAGTAAAACTTAAACCTACTTAATTCACGATATAAACGATTTGACAGAACATGAACCAAAGAATAGTGGTGGAAATGTACTTGGGTAGCTATTGGAGCCAGTCCGGATTCTGCACAAAGATGTGCATCGCTTTTATGACACACGCGCGTGTGTGCTTTGGTGAACATCCCATGATGCGATTCAAAATCAGCAACAGTTCCATAAGAATTCTGAATGCATTATGACTAAAAATTGTTATTTTATTTCCATAACATCACTGTCGATAAGGCGATATTGCAGTACATTTAACATACAGTCCTGCTCTGTTCTTCTTCTATCTTTTATCTCTACTCTTTTTGAGTCTACTTTAAAGTAACTATTGCGCAAAAAATATGTTATACAACTTAAAAATACAAAAGGGCCGTGTGTAAACAGTGATACGATTCATAACAGTTGGCAAGATAAAAAAATCATAAAGATGACAGACATTCGCGGTCCAGCTTACACATGGTTTAAATCATATTTCGAAAATAGATCACAAATAGTGCAAATTGACCATTTCGACTCCAACACAAATGTGGTTAAAATAGTGATGTCTGAGAAAAGGAGCATAAAATGTTCAATTCCACAGGGCAGCGTGTTAGGTTGTTTGCTATTTCCGATATACAATAACAACTTGCCAAAGGTACTAAATAAGGAACAAACATTATTCATATATTCGCTGATGATATATCAATATTGCTTATGACAAAACCAAAAACCGAACACAAATACTTCGGAAAACTCTAGACACAGTAAATCACTGGCTAAGCGACAAGACCTTAGAAATTTACTATAGCAAAACAAAAACCATCCAATTTAAATCACACAAAAACACCCCCATAAATATCGACACGACATACAACAACACACAATTAGAAACCGTAT